CATCCTCAAATATATATATATATATATATATATATATATATATATATTTTTAACCTCAGTGTGGAACTTACAAACATGAAAATGACGATATAATTATTCATTTTGAAATAGGAAATTTGACATACTCCTACAAGATGAACTTGTCATATTGGTACTTCCATATATATCCTGTCCTAAATTGAAAGGGTGAAGTGAATCTCTTTGGTGCGCCAGCTGCTTTTGGGAATTTGTAAAATGAAAAGCCCTGGGTAAAATATCTAGCTACTCTCCCTGTTACAGATGAGCATGTACCAGCTAAATAGATTAATGCAAAAGATAGGCAGAGGTCCATCAGTCCAAGTCCAAACCCTGATCATCATGTAACTGTATATCTCCCGGAAGACATTGTGTTCTACACTTCTACTACTACTGGAGTTGTATCAGGATTCAGTGTACAAGCTTAAAAGATTCTTAAGCTTTCTCATAGAATTTTGCTTCGGGACATGTCTTCTATATTCTTCCCCTCCCACATACACACACGCACACAAAACTGGATATAAAAAAGATCTTTACTTCCAAGCTTGGCAGTTTAGAGAGTGAAATCAGTTTTCTTAATCTGAGTGCATGAACTCAGTACACAGGATCTGTACTCCAACTTAGTTGCTGGTAAGGTAGACAATCACAAGCTGAGCTCTGCATCACTTACTCCACCTCTCTGAAATAAGAGAACGAGGAAAGGGGGAGATGAAAATTCCATAAAGAAGTTGTGTTGTGGCCCTTCTCCAACCATAGCATACGAGGGGACTCAGACCACGTTGAACAGGGCAAAAAATCTTCCTTGAGTTCAACAGCCTGATACAATCAACTTCAAAACGCAATTTACAGTCAATACTACTAATCCCGTGTCACATCTTGATTCTAGTTACTCTTTTCAAAATGACTGCCCCCAAAATGACCCATATTACTTGGTAGTCAAAACCCCAAGGAAATTCTAAACTATTAAAAATATCTCACAATAGTGGCGAATCCAGGGGTTGAATTCAGCTAGGGCGAATCGCGAGCATTGAAAGCTTATTATCCATGGACCATGGCCAACGTCCGTGATAACGAGGTTGTTTATTAATATTTAATTAAATAATATTCAAAAAATCGTACGAATTAAAACTAGAAGAACTATATATATCACTAAAATTAGGTACGAACTTTCATTTTGAATGAAAAAAATCGTTCCATAATCTGCAAAATAACATAATTTATTTTTCAAATAAATGAGCAATATATATTAACAAAATGTCAAAATTCAGTTTACAATTAAAGTTAATTAAACACGCATTATTATATTAACAAAATTGAAATTATTTATGTGCTTGTATAATTCCACTTTTTCGCAATCGATTTTTTGTGAACGAAAAGTGGAACCTTTTATTAATTAAATAAGTTTTGTTGAAAGATCCTTACGACACTAAGGCTAATTTTCCAACAAATTTATGTACCATTAATTGATGAAACTCTCAAATCAATTGATTAGAGGGAAAAAAGAAAAGAAAAGAAAAAGAAAATCAAGAAGAGGAACACAGCACCGGTTAAAATGTTTCCACTTACATTAAACCAGTAAATTAAACATATATTATTTTGTTATATTATGTGCTAAAAATCAATAAGTGTCATGATGGTAAAGTGGTTGATATGTTTAAGGAATGTAACAGGTTCGAATCACTTTCCTTGCATTTGTTTTGGTAAAAATTGTTGAAATACAAAAATTATAAAAAATACTGCTCTTGAAGAGTTTCTAACTCAGAATCTCCAATTCAATAATGGAAAGGATAACCAGCTAAGCTAACAGATATGTCTAACAGATATGTTTGTTGTTAATATGAATTATCAAATATATAACCTAAAAATTCTATCTATTATCAGCAAAAAAAAAAAAAAAAAAAAAAAAAAAAAAAAAAAAAAAAAAACCCCCCGGGTAAAAAAAAAAAAAAAAAAAAAAAAAAAAAAAAAAAAAATCCTCCTGGAGAATCCACCTAGGTCGGCCGCCCTAGCTCGCCGGCCTCTAAATCCCTGCCTATCATCCTAACAATTTGAAACACTATCAAATCACAATTGAACTGCAATTTTTCCACAAGAGACTATAGATATTTGGAACACTTCCCAAATATATTTAATTCATGCATTTTTCTGTTTAACCTAGAGGTGCCAATGGGTTTGAAATTCCTCCAGTAACAAAATTTTATAATACAAACCAATTTATGCTTCCTTTCCAGTGTCAGACTGTGGCTCTATAATAGGTAAATTAAAAAGATGCACAAGGATGATCAACTTGTTAGCCAAAACCCAAAAGATCACACCCTATAGTAACTTCAGCTTTGTCTCTCATTCATTTTTCTTTATTTCATCAAAGGCGAGATGTTCCAAACCAGTTTTCGATAAATGCACTAATAATTGTAATTAAACGAAAAACAAATAATCATGGGGGAAATTTATATACAGGATTAAGGGTTCCGTTCTTGCAAGTAGATAAGAAGAGGTAAAAGAAGCCATGCCATCCTCAAACAATTAAATAGAGAGCATGACAGGCGAGATATACTTCTTTATGTATTAAAAAAGTTTAAATGAGTATACTACTCTGTAACAAAAACACTAAGTTTAGCATACATTTCATCAACAAAATACAGTTCTACCTGAGCTTGGTGACGGTGTTTCGCGAGGGTAAGATTCTGAATGTCTACCAAGAGCATCGTGTTCATATTTTGAAGAAGATGATTGAGCTCCAGATGGCGAAGCTGGGTCCCGTAAGTTAGAAAAGGAAGAACTCTCCCCGCTATTCATATCAAACCCACTATTGTTTTCACTTGGATCATCAAACACAGAGACCCTGGGTTCAAAATATGGAGAATCCAATGTTATCTCTCCTTGCTGACTGAGAAAGTTGAGACGGGGATCACATTGAATGAGTTTTTCGAAATGCTTTCCAAGCAAGCCTTGTGGGCACTCCAGATAATGTTGCCTGAAATATGAAAAAAATCACCCATGTGTAAATGTAAGAGCTCCATGCATAAAGACAAACTAAGTCACCTAAAAAGCCAGAAAGAAAACCCAAACCATGCAACTATAGCATGTACATGAATACATTCATACCTCAAACCATATACATGTAAACAATCGTAACCCTAAAATAAATAGATCAACCACTAAACTTTTGATCCAATCCCAACATTGCAATAATACATTGGCAGGAATCATCCCAGCACCAGAGCAACAACTTCAGAGTTCACCACACTATATCTGCTCCACACACACATGCACAAAATAAATAAATAAATCCTGCTTTGATCTGTAAGTTCCAATCTGGAACTATATGACAGGAGTCCTCATGTAACCAGCAAGTAAAGACTTTAGAATAAAAAAATTAAAAAAAATAACAGAGACACTGTAGCTACCACGCTATATGATACAGATGTTAACTAGATGGTAGAATATTTCAATGAATATTCTTTCGCTTCCAATTTTGTTTCTTGCCATGTTGGGCAATCTACCAATGAAACCAAAGCCTGAGAAGAATAGTGCGACATTTTGCACCATACTACTAATAGTGTACAGCGTGTGTGGAAATGTTCGTTTTCCTACCCAGATATCACCTTCCAATGTTTGACATGATACCAGCGTCACTCGGCATAGACTTTTCCAGCCTGAGAAGAATCATTTGGGTTTTTGCCGCGAACCACAAATAAACTGGCAGCACACAAGATGATGGTATTTGTTCTCTTTTAATCCTCAAGCTAGTACAAGGTTATATCTTTCACACATTCCCCAATCCACACACACCAAAAGAAAGTTATACAAAGGTGGAAATCTTCATATGGATGCATTCTTTCGTCATACAAACAAATAACTCTACCTTCTGATCTTGCATACTGAGAAAATTACAAATATAAGAAGTGATCTAAAATACACGAGCACACAGAGGAAACAGAGAGAAAATTCTTTACCAGTTAGATGTGAAATCATTCATGGCTGCCGGATCACAAAAGGGGAAAATACAGAAATTGTCAGCTAAAAAACACAAATTAAGCATGGTTGACCACTTGACCTGCTCCCAACGCAGGCAGTACAGAAGACTTACCTATGTTTGCTAGCCTGTCCACCAGTAAAATCTGTTGTTGCCTGCCAAAGGGTGTGCTTTCTAGGTTGTGGATTAGTCTCTCTGTAGAAAAGAGGTTGCCTGGCCAACTGCACATCGAAATGTTTCGTTGTCAATTAATTATTAACAGCAGATACACTGCAACATAATAGGACTGACTGAAGTGAGTGGTTATTACCACAACATCTATAAACCCAGGCCCATCCTCAGGGTAATTTGCCTTGAGAGCCATTATATCAGACCATTGAATTTCAATCTTATTCTTCAGTCCCCCATCAAGAACTTCCCACACCAGCTTATGCTTTGCAAAGTAACATTTTGCAACCAAGTCCCCTTCATATCTCGATTTGTACTTCAAATCCAATAAAAATTACAGTAAATATCAGTCAAAAAATTATAATGTTCAATGAATAAAATCCATTATACAGGTGTTTTAAGAAAGGTGTGAAATTTGAATCTACCTCCCAGGTCCCAATTCTAAGAATCGAGGCGGGAAAGTTGGAGGCCTTCAGCTTATCAGTAGAACCAGAAGCACCACCTCTCTGTTCCCTTTTACCATGACCATGACTTCCAACTTTGGAAGCTCTAGCTTGAGAAAGCTTCGCTTGAATCAACTCTAGAAGAGATGGGCTTTTTCTCAGTTGCAAACCCAATGGACTCGGCTCATCAAGTGGGTGATATTGCGAAACTGACTCCAGAAAACCTCCCATTCCCAAACTCTGCTGCGACAGTGAAACAAATACAATACCAACGTCAAAGTAACCCATTACTATACAACTGTAAACTCACAATAGTTGTTGATAACTTGAAAAAATATGTTGAACGCAGATAAAGATCACATCAAGGTGAATCAAAAATCTAAAACCAAAAAGGGAAGAAATTTCAACAATTGAACGATAGAAAGAACAGTGATCAAAAGCCTCTAATTTTTCTTTCAATAAATTAGTCATCTTCTCAATCCTAAAATGCTTAATTTTTCACACCCTAGCTTTATTAATTTCATTACACATTCATGCCTAAAGATACAGAGACACGTATCTAAGCATATATACTCCAAAATTAGGAGAATAAAATACTTTGTGACGCTTGGAGAGTGGTCCATGCTCTTCTTCCAAAGGATCCTCCATTTCCATCTTCACCATCGGCATCTTTTCGCTCTGCGATTCCGGGTTTCCGTTTGTCATTAACTGCACCATTAAACCAAATATAACTCCACCTGTTTTCGAGATCAAATATTAGTGAAACCCTAACTCTAATAGACACAGACTGAATTCGGTGGGTGAGTCGTCTCAGAGAATTTTTCTAGTTGCTTCGGACGATTTTTGCTGTGAGAAAGAGTTTGCGATTGCTATACGAAAGAAGGAATGACGGAGAAATATTAATTTATTTTCTACATTTTATTTGGCGGCGGCTCACACGTGTCGCTTTACGCGATTTTGGACTGGGAGTTTTGATGCTCACTGGCACGTGCCAAGGGCCCACTCACACCGTGGCTAAAAAATTTGGACTGTCGTAGCAATAAAAAATTTAAATTAAAAATAAGTTAGGTAAATTGCACCAGTACTCCTCAACTTATTGTTTTATTAACAAGTTAACACTTCAACTTTTCTGTGTTTAATCATTTGTTAACAACAGAAAATGTTAAAATCTTTATCAACACGTCACATAAACTTGGGGGTGTTCAAATTTATAAGACTATAGTTTATCTTTCTATTCAGACTTGTGTGAAAATATTGAGCTAGGTTAGGTATGTACGTTATTATTGGGAATTTTTTGTATAACTATAATGAAAAATTGTTGATTAACTTGTTCTTTTCTATTGATTTGGTACTGGAGGATATTTGGTGGAGATTAAAATTAGATTTTTTTTAGTAGATTGTGATAAAAAATTTAAACTATGTGACGGAAAAGTTATAGAACTCATAAAAATGTGGTTAATATTGATTGTTTGATTTTAATTAAAATTGAATTTTAATCAAAACCAAACGTGTACCCAATTTGATACTAAAACGATAAACTATTAAGCCCCAGTTTGGCATCCATTTTTTGAAATAAAAATGGGTGGAATAGTGTTTTTTTTTTTTTAAATGAGTGATTGAAAAAGAATGAAAAGTTTTCGAATTTACTTGTAATATTATTTTATGGAAGATTATGTGGTTAAAAATTGAAAAGAGAAAAATGAAATGTAATTTAATAAGAGCTAATTTTATTATTAAATTTATGTTTGGTTGAACTAGAAATTTTGATTGAAATTTCAATCAAAATAAAAATTTATTTTTCTCATGCAACTTTTTAATAACATATTTCATCAACTTTTATCAAAATATATTAAAGTTTTAATTTTTATCCGAATTAAAAAAAAGGACTAGAAAAGACAATAGTACTCGTGGATTATTTGAGTAATAAGATAGTCTTTGACTTTTCTAATAATATAATTGATTTTTAATATTTTTATTTTAGTCGTTTGAGAAATTTTGAAAGTGAAAATTATTTCTTTTAACATGATTTCAAATGGAAAAAAAAAAAATGGTCGATTAGAGCAATAAGATAGTTTTCAACTTTTATTGTAGTTGCATGACTAATTTTAAATTTTTTATTGTAGTTGCATGACTTGAACGGAAAACTATTTCTTTTAACGTGATTTCATATTTAAAAATAATAATAATAAATAAATAAAAGAAAGTTGATTAGAGCAATAATTTGGTCTTCAACTTTATAATAATAAAATTAATTTTAAATTTTTTATTGTAGTTGCATGATTAATCTTAAACGAGAAAATTATTTCTTTTAACATGATTCCATATTAAAGTTGATTTCTCCAAAGTGTGGTCACGTTTGTTTGTGTTTGTTGGCAGTCACGTGAGCAGTGTCGGATAAAATGTGGTGCCAAACACTTGAAGCTTCTCTATGTTGTCATTTGTTACGGTTGTGATTGACTCATTGGACACGTGGCGGCATCTAGGAGCATCATGTCAAGTACTAAGAAGTGACTTGGAATTACAATTTTTTGGATAATATTTGACACGATAGCAATTTTGTCGTGTATCTGATATATGAGACAAACACCCTGATTGGGCCATTACTGTATTCCTGCGAATATCACCATCGGAAGCCCATCATTGATTGGGCTTGGGCCCGGGCATCATGCATTCAAAATAGATTAACGGGTTGAACAGTCACCCTTTTAAGTTTACTTGCCCCTGTTTAGTGTAGATAAAAATCAAAATTTAAATAAATTTAAATAAAAGACTATGAATGTAAGTACGGTTGAAAAGTTGTGGGTCCTTAAAATATATGATTAAAATTAATTAAATTTTGAAATATATTTTTTATCAAGATTTTAATCTACGTTGAATATCTCCGAAAATATCGGAGCTTCATGACAATTTTCAAACAGCAAGCAACAATGTTTTTTTTAGTGTTGGAAGAGAGCAAGTAAACTTTGGGCCCGGGCATCATGCATTCAAAATAGATTAACGGGTTGAACAGTCACCCTTTTAAGTTTATTTGCCCCTGTTTAGTGTAGATAAAAATCAAAATTTAAATAAATTTAAATAAAAGACTATGAATGTACATACGGTTGAAAAGTTGTGGGTCCTTAAAATATATGATTAAAATTAATTAAATTTTGAAATATATTTTTTATCAAGATTTTAATCTACGCTGAATAGCTCCGAAAATATCGGAGCTTCATGACAATTTTCAAACAGCAAGCAACAATGTTTTTTTTAGTGTTGGAAGAGAGCAAGTAAACTTTACTCGAATCAACATACCAAATGCACTTACATTTGCTTGCATGAGTAAAGAAAAAATGACAATGTCTATGTTGTGTTTAGCTATAATAGCCTGGACAAGGGAAGGGGATAAAGAGGAAAAGGAACTATGATTTGAAAACTCCCAGTCGTCGCCCGTACGAGCCCACGGATTGCTGCAGATCCATTGAAACAAACCTCATACAGATTGAGGTCAAAATGCAAAAGAGGAAATGTAATCTTGTGTTCAGAGGAGATTGTGATTACACAGTGCAGCAAAGCTTTGAATCAATAGAAGCCAAGCAGATGCAAAAGGCTTGATAACCAGTCAATGGATATCTGCAGCAAATAAGCTTCTTTTAGTTTTAAGCAGACTTTATACCTCAAAAGCCAATGTAATAGAAAATTAGGAACAGTACCATCACGATTGTTCAGGTTTACCTGTAATCCATCACATGTAAAGAGGAAAAGGAACTATTTGAAAACTCCCGGTCGTCGCCCGTACGAGCCCCCGGATTGCTGCAGATCCATTGAAACAAACCTCATACAGATTGAGGTCAAAATGCAGAAGAGGAACTGTAATCTTGTGTTCAGAGGAGATTGTGATTACACTGTGCAGCAAAGCTTTGAATCAATAGAAGCCAAGCAGATGCAAAAGGCTTGATAACCAGTCAATGGATATCTGCAGCAAATAAGCTTCTTTTAGTTTTAAGCACACTTTATACCTCAAAAGCCAATGTAATAGAAAATTAGGAACAGTACCATCACGATTGTTCAGGTTTACCTGTAATCCATCACATACTTGGACTTTCCCACCCTTCCAAGTTGAAGAATTGTCTGTCTTCCATTCCTCTGGGGAAACCAAATGAAAAAATGAACACTAATCTCCCAAACACCGTGTCTGAAAAGTTACATGTTCCACTAGTAGATTCACATTTTACTAATTTAATTTATACACACCCTTGGAAAAGGCAATTGTTCTAGTTCAGAAATAAACACCCTTGATGACTTTACTATACATTTAAATAACCCCATAAAGGGTTGCATTCCGCTCCTGCTATCGTGATTTTCACATTACTGTAAGCTGAAGTGCTAACTGAGAGGATCTGAAGCAAATCTTCAACGATAATTATCTTAAATGTAATCGCAATCATAAGGGTTTTTTTCTGGTAAAAAGATGGATTCACCTCTAAAGTCAATTGGAAATTCTTCACCGAGCTTTGGATTTTAAGACCTGCCCTTCCTCTATCTCTGAAATCCAATTCATACTGCTTCGAAATCTATGGCAACAAGATCCAGTAAGAAAAGATGAAATTTAAGTGCATACCGTCACATATACAAGCTATGCGATATAACCAAACCTAATCATTTACTTTGTCCTTACTATAACTTACCTTATTATATTGAGGAACCCTTGAAACTAGCTGATGTACCTTATCCTTCTTCCCCTCCCATTCTATTGGCAGTCCATTGATATGTTGTATCTACAAGGGAAAGTTTTAAAAAGAATTTAGGTAATTTCAGGAATAATATATAATTTTACTCTTGTCAAAAAGTAGTGACAGTTCTCCAGGCATAACTTTATGTCACCTGGTTTGTATTCTTTAACTGCATAGATTGGTACTTTGGTATCCATGCATTCATACATCTGCAATTTCCAGTCCAAGTGGATACCGTAGGATTGAATCTGTGGATAGAGCAGAAAATAAGATATCATTAACTTGATTTACCATTCGAATAGAAACATGCAGTCCTTCTAGAGGCACAAGAGGGAGGTGCTTACTTCACCGCAGCCAATAATTTGGAGTGTTTGGTCAATGAATTTCGACGATTTCCCTGAAATGTATGGAAGGCCAAATTTTTAGACATGATTTTTGCTTCTATTTAAGAGAAATGAACCACAATAGAGGAACTAGTGGTGTTCAAGTTGTTTACCTGATCCCATACATGGTATTTCGAACCTAATATGTTAGCTGTAACAAAACCAATTAAACTGTCATCAGATGAATTCATTATTCCCTTTTCATTTTGAGCAATTCTGAACTCTGATCTTCCTTTAAGCCTTCTGTGACGTGCCACAGCAAGTTTACGATTTTGTCGCCCGTGGCCCTCCTATTATGTTGTTGAGATTATTATAAACAATGTCATATAGATAAAACAAAAACAATTCACAGGAGTTCAATATAATACAGAATCAGTTCACAGAACCCGTTTGGTAGGGATTTTAAGAATTGATTTTTTGACCGTTAGAAGAAAAGTGGGGTCCACATGTGAGAGAAGAAGTAAAAAATTACGACTTGAATAGTAAAATAATGGTCAAAAAATCAATTTTTTGGGGCAAAAAATCCCTACCAAACGGGGCCATAGTTATCAGTTCGTATAGATTCTAAAGAAGGCACATAATGAGGTCGAAAGGGTATATAACTCGTCCATAGAAAGATCTCAAAGAGGTCTTTATAATTTGGCATCAAGAGTTTAGTCCACATTTTATCATGTTTGCAAAAAATGCTTATAATCATTTAATGCAATAAATAAATTTCCCAAATTCTAAACAGGCTTACATTTGTATAAAGTGTGTAAAGAGTGCACCCATC